CACGGCTCTGCATCCAATCCAGTCAGAGCAGCAGACAGAACCCAGGGCACATGGGAGGAAGCAAAAGAAAGACAAGACCAGAAAGATGAAATAGAAAAATGATGTTTTTCAAGGATCAGCAGATGAGACTAATCAGGAATAAAACAGGGACAGATTATGAATATGGCAGATTTAAACAATTATTTAAACAAACAGCCAAAAAAAAAGTCATCAAGAAAACACCTTGAAGATTTTTATGCCTATAGACAAATTCCTGGAACAATACTATTTCCCCCTGTATCTGAAAGCCTAAATTAGTCCACAGAGAAAACTGGGCTTTCCCCAGAGAGAAAACACCTGCGAACAGTGATGCAGGCCAAGACTGACTCCCATCCACCAGGAGGGGAGGGGATGCTCCCCAATCCCAGTTCTGTGGGTCCAGAGACCAGTCGGTTTATAGCCCTGAACAGCTCCGAGCCAGGCCAGCAGAGCCAGCAGAGGACACGTTATGCAGCAGGTTACTTTAGAACTACTTGATTGTTTTAAAGGTATAAGAAATTCAACAACACAGTTCACTAAATTTAAGACTTCAAGGAAAGGCCACATAGGTCTGAGAGATGTAGCAAAAGCATTTGGTCAGCAGCACTAGTTGGCAGTCCAGGTTTTTGCCCAGGAGGGTGGAAGGAGCCTTGTCCGACAAGGGGAAGCTGCCAACTGCAGTCAGAGCAGCCCCAGCCCAGGACACCCCCAACCCAGAACACAACACCTCCTCCAGGCAGCTCTGGGCTCCTGACCAGGAAGTTGGTACCACTGCACACCTTCCAGCTACCTTGCCCCGACCTGGACACCCACTTCACTCCATTTCACAGCCAAGTTCCCGCCAGCCCCACCTCCTGCTCTCCCAGGGGCCTCTCTAGGATGCTGGTCCACCAGTTTGCAGACCTGGGACCACCTTCACACCTGCCCCTTTACTGCTGTGACCAGCACTGTCCTCTCAAGTCCTAGGCACTCTGCCTAATGTCTATGGCTCTTGCCTGACAGACCCTGGCTCTGGGGGTCCCATGTGCTTCCTGCCTGTGCACACAAGCAGCTGAACCTGCTGCAGCACAGCACGTAGCCATTGATGCTGTGCCCTTGAGCCCAGATGGGCCTCAGCATGAGACCAGGCGGGCCTCAGCATGAGACCAGGCCACAAGCCACACTCCCTCCACACAGCCCCACTCAGCTCCACAGGACCTGGCCAAGGGGTGTCAAGACCCACACACACTGTGCATGTGTCACGCATGTGGGGCACACCTGATATCTGCAACCCAGGAGCTCCTCCTCCAACTTTCAGGGGCCAGAATACTGTGGTCCTTGGGAGGGACCTAGCAGCTAGGAACAAAGATGGAGGTGGGGTCGACCTAACACCATCTCATGTTTTTCTCGCCTGTGACCTTTGCCTTGAGACAATGGTAGAGAGGGGATCCTGAACCCTGCGGAGTGGGCCTTGCTGGAACCCATGCAGCTCGGCCCCAGGGCCCTGACTTGGTGTTCCCTCTTTACAGGAATTTGCTAGAGGTGCGTGTTTCCCCAGAAGACAAGAGCTGCCTTTAGTCCTGCACCCCACTGAACGCCTGGAATTCAAGCACACAGAAGAATTTCAGAGACAGCCCTGATCTGTGGTCTTCATGGGCAGAAGGTGGGCACAGTGCAGAGTGCCCTCTTCACCAGTCTTCACCTGCTAAAATGTCCAGCTCCTGCCCAGAGGCGTGGCTGTGCTGACACCACTGCAGCCCCTGGTCAAACCCTGGTCAGGACCAGGACCTTCCAGGAAGGATCTCCGGGCCTAGCCAGGCAGCCACTACCCACAGGGACAGGAGCAACCTCAGACCCAACTCAGTCATTCTCAGAAACACCTGATAGCATTGAGGCAAAGAGCCCAGCATGAGGACCAGGGTCCCTGTAGGAAACAAGAGATGCAAGAAGCCTGGTGGGGATCTCCTGGGCAAAGACCAGTGCTTGTCCAGGTCCCATGTTTCTGAGGAGGAGGACCTGTCCAGGTCCTGCAGTGACGGTGCTCCTGGTGTGGTGGGGTGGCGGGAGGAAGTAGGGGTGTGCCCACAGCCTGGACAAGCCTTTTATCCTGTTAGGACTTGGGTCACTGGCCCCAGGCTCTGCCACTGTCCCTCTAAAGGGAAACCCCAGAGCTGGGGTGGGTTAGGCAAAGGCCATTGCTGCTGCGCAGATGGGCGCACAACTGGGGACGCCTGGTGGAGCGCTGTGCGGGAGAGCCGCTGTTGGTCCGCTTTCTGGGCCAGGGCTGCCTGGGGTGGGGGAGCCTCATTATTACTTAAAGGCCTAAAAATACTGCTGGCTGTAAATCAGTCCCTGCTTCAAGGCTGTGGGCCCTGCCTGAGCGTGGGAGGGAAAACGCAGGCCTGCACGCCACCTGCATCTGACAGCAGCCCGGGCCCCAATGAGGGCTCACAGGAAAGCCACCGCAGCAAGGCAGGCATGGCTCTGGTCACTGCATGCCCTCAAGGCAGCCCTGGGTGGCATCCTCACGAGGGCAGTCTCCTTATTACCACTGCAGCTCCTGGTCAAGCCCTGGCCAAGACCAGGACCTTCCAGGAAGGATCTCCAGCCACTAGTGGCTCTCACGGCGCATGACCTCAGGTGCCAGGAATGTGCACGCGGCGCGTCCACCATCTGGTTCTGATTACCCATGCTCTGCTGCGGGAACCTCATCTGTGTCTCAGCTCCCAGCGTCCGCCTGGGGAGATTGATTTGGGCTCATTAGAGGCTTCAGCAGGAGGACACGAGGGAGGCACATCTGCGCCCATGTGGCTCTCAGCCGAGGCACTGCAGCACAGGGTGGGTGAGGATACCTGTGGATGCAGAGGGCCTCACGGTCACCTTGCCCACTCCTGGGTAGCAAGGATGCCTCCAGACACTCCCCCTAGAGGCTTGGGTTTTATATAACCACCAGGGCCTCTGTGGCTGATGCTGAATGACATTGGGCAGAGTTGGTACATTGGCCTTTGCCCTCTCCACTGGTGCCACCTGTCCCCTCCCAGAACTCCTCCTGCCCTATGCACCTTGGTACTTGGAGGGGGAAATCCTCCCTCCTTTGTTGTGTGCCATGGCTGAGGCTCTGTCCTGAGCATCCATCTCACTAACCACTTCTGGGCCACGGTTCCCGGATCCCCCCTCTGCTTTAACTCTTCGATTCATCAGTACAGGAATGCTCATTTCTGGACTGGAACATGCCCTATAAATTAAGTCTTAAGTTCTAGCAGCTGTTTCCCAAACACACCAGAAAAGACCAGGAAGGTCTGGGCCAGGGTGGCAGGAGGCCCCTTCCCAAGGTGCTGGGTGCCAGGGAGTCTGGGGAGGCTACACAAAAAGGCATCATGCTCTCAGGAAAGTTACCTGATCTTCAGTTTTTTGCAGTCAGGCTGGTGAAGGTCAGGCCACAGTGGAATGAACACTGGACCCCATGAGGGGGCACTAAGGGTTCCCATAGTCTCAAGGATCAGTAAGGGGGAGTGTGAGGGAGAACCCCACTCCAGGCCATGTAGAGCCAGCACTAGAGCAGCTCAGCCTCCAGTTCCTACAACAGCCATCACCATTATGACTTCCCACCCACTACCCACCCAGGCATGCTGTTCCAAGACCCAGGAGACCCTTCCTCCCACATGGAAGTATAAGAAGCTCCACTCCTCTCAGCAGGGCTTCCGTGCTCCCCAGACCCTCAGAAGACGGATGGATGAATGACAGACAGCTGTACTACAAGTTCACTATGTGTCTGGCACAGGCTGGTGATGCCCATAGGCACGGAGGCCTGCTCAGCAGGACCCCTACCCCTCAGCATATCCTGACTTCTACCTGGGGCCCAATCCTCCACTACCCCACCACATGCCTCGGGATTCTAGAAGTGCCCACTCAGGTTGGCCTGACAGGCAAAGGCGAGCTTCACCCCAGGCTGCGGGCAGGGCTTCCCCACCTGGGGGATCCAGATGAGGCCCTCTCTGTGCCTCCTGTCATGGGCCGACAGAGGGCCTGTGCCACAGTTCCATAGAGGACGGCAGCCTCAGGCCTTGTCCTCTGTGCTCCAGGGCTGAGAGCCAGTGGGCTGGAAACTGGGCCTGCTGCTGCATCCGCTGGTGGCCACCTCAGAGGACATGCAGCCCCTACCTGGAGCCCCTTTCCACCAGATTTGTGTTCACAGAGCTGCTTCATAGAAGTTTCCGTGTTCTGGCTGTGGGCAGTTTTCAGTTTTCAGAAGCTTCTGGTGAGTGGGGGCTCCTTGTTCAGTCCCAGAAGCCAGTATTCACCCAGGCCGCCTTTGAGGGCCAAAAGGTCAAGGACATAACTAGTACCTCATGCCCTAGTGGTCAGCAGCCCCCCAGACCTGCACCAGAGGCCTGGACAGGAAACTTCCCCCCACCTTCACTGGCCCCAACCCAATCCCTCTTGTTCCACAGGCCCAGACACAGACACCAGGTGCCCCTCAAGCCACGCCAGCCAGAAGAGACCATGAGACCCTGTGGGAAGAACTCCAGCACCGCCCCCCCAGCCCTGAAGCCTCCCAGCCTTCCTCCTGGACTTTCCTGTGGTCTGTGAGCAATGGCTTCCCTTGGGCCAGCCCATAGACCACCACGGGGCCCCCAGCTTTGTGAAGTTTTCCACTTTAGGTTGTTTTTTTTCTTTTTTTTTTATTAATCAGTTCCTTACTGACCAAATTCCTCTTAGTTTTCACAAAGGGATCTGAGTATTCCTGGATTTTACGTGCCTCTCTCGAGATGGACAAGATGTGACTGCTGTTAACCCGAGGTCTGGGAGAAACCCAAACCATGTGAACAGCTTGCCTGTGCCCCTCTTCCTGAGCCGGCCTTGGACAGGCCTGCCGCACCCGCCTCCGGGTGATTAATTAGCCAGGGATCTGCAACAACTCCTCTTCATGCCTAAATATTGTTTCAGCCTATCAGACTGTTAGTGCAGAGCAGGATAAATGAGGCCCAGCCCGGCACACTGACCTGCAGGGCCTGCTGCCCGTCCAGGCTCCAGACAGCCAGCACCTTCCCCGCGGAGCCAGAGACGCCCCTGGCCTTCTGGGAGTCGAAGTCAAGACCCATGACGGGCTCCTCATGGCAGGCAATGCGGCTGCACACCTTCTGCTCAGAGACATCCCACAGGGCCACCGATCCATCCTCATAGCCGGCCAGGAGGAGAGGGTGGGGGCTACAGTTGGCCTGCAGGAACAGAGAGCAGTCAGTTCCCAGGAGGGTCCTGACTTCAGTGAGTTTTGGGGAGAAGGGTTCTTGAGACTGACTGCCTCTCCTGCGTGCCCGGGGCTGTTTCCTATGTTCTCCACGTGGCCTTAACAGTTCAGAAGCTCTGCTCTCTATCCCCCTGTGCCCTCCCACACACTGCTTGTATGGCTAAACCCATCTGCAGGAGGCCAGCATGGCTGCAGCTGGGCCCCTCTAGGAACATGAGGTTGGAGGGCACAAAGCCCCAGAGTAGCCTGGTTGAGCCTTAGGCCTCCTACCACTGTGTACACCTCACCAGCCCCGTGACCCATACATGCCTGCACTGGGTCCTGCCCAAAGGGGTGCTGCTGCCCCTCTCCACCTCTCTTATACACAGGGATCTGTCCTCCTGCCTCCTTCCCCTGGCTTGAGATGTGTGGCCACCCCTGCTGGGGTTGGTCACCTGTCCAGAGCTGCCAGCCAGGAGAAACGGTGCACTATATCCCCATGACAAATGGACCTCTGTGCTTCATCATGGGGCTGCAGGTCCCACCCCTGGATGCCTGGCGGGGGCTGCCCAAGCCATTGTGATGAATGAGGGCATGGGTCAGAGGACTCCAAGCCCTGGGCAGACGCCTCGCTTGACAAGCCTCTGAAACAACTGCAGAAGGAGAGCGCTGCAGGATTCCGCATCACCCTGGGGACATGGTCATCAGTCCCCAGCACCGAAGGTGATAACCTAAAATACACATTATGTGACTGAGCAAGGAGACATGGGTTAGCCAGAAGGTACCTGGGTGTGCATTTAATGAGTGGACAGAAGGCTGGTGATGGAGCCGGAAGCCAGCTGAGAGCCCGAGGCAGCACCCTGACCTGGAGGGGACGGCCATGGCAGGGGCAGGAAGGACACAGTCACCAAGGCTTGCACACAGGCATGCAAACCCAATGCCAGAGCTGATCCAGAGGCAGCCTCCCCCATGTCCTGGAAATGGCTTGTAAATCCATGGTGCTCTGATGATAATGTGAGTTTACAAAACAGGGAAGAGTGAGGCTCCTGAGAGGATGTGTGTGGTGGTTAGTATGTCTCTCTGGGCATCTCCTTGCATGTGCCATCCCCCTGCCAGAGCCCACACTGTCATGACCACACTGCTCATGTAGTTTTGCTTCACGGAGGAGCACCGTGCTGGCACCTTCAAGTCATCTGCTTGGAAAGAATACATGTGGAAACTCACACCACCTTCCTCGAAGGCCTGTGCACAGAATGCTTTAAGACATGCCAAGCCCTCTTCCCGGGAGCTTCTAGTGGGCAGCCATGCCTCCCTGGACAGCAGCATGTCTGGACAAAAGGAAGGGTCAGGGCCAAGGAAGAGAAGCCCGGAGTACTCATATCCCAGTCAGCAACATAGGCCAGCTCCACCACCTGCCACAGTAAGGCTGGCTGCTGGCTGGATGCTAGCCCTGGTACCCATGGGCAGTGCTCTGTGGTGACACCTGTTTGCCAATCTGCATTGACCGCTCCCCTGGGTATGTTTCCCATCTCCTGAGCTGAAACAGTCTGGGGGGTAAGGGGAGTTCCTCTTAACACCAATGTGAGCTCTGACCAGTCCTCTGCATCCCAACACCTGTATGAAGCCACAGCCTGAGTTCTGGACACCACAGCTACTGCAGGGGTGATATGTGTCCGACTCACCTGCCACGGCACCACAGGACAGCCAGAGGAGGAGCCAGCCTGGCCCAGAGGGGCTCACCCTGTGGTTGTCAGCCCCTGTCCACTACCTTGATCCCTACTGTACTCTGGACCCTGTGGCCTCCCAGTGACAGACACTGAAGGCCAGACAGCGCCCTTGTGGCCGAGGCCTGTGGGTGACCACACCTTTGGTGACACCTGACCTATGCAGCAGCAAGGACCTGAAGTCACCCTGATCTGCTCTTCTCAGCCTCCTCCCCACCCACCCTCAGCTGAAACCTGGAATACAGGTCTTGCTCTGCATCCCCTCTTGTCCCTCAGGTGCATCCCCAGGGACCACAGCAGGCTGGGTCCCCTGAGGAGCGCTAAACTGGCTGCACCCCAACTGGGTTGGAATGGCACTGAGCCTGGCTCTAAGGGTAGGTACAGTGACTCTGCCTCAGGCTGGACAATTATTCTCACAAAAAAAAGTTGGCCACTTTGAGAAGCAACATAAGAATATATTGAGTCAGGACCTCTGTCACGCTCAAACTGATAAGTCACAACCTGATCTTCAGGCCTGGAGGTCAAAAAGGGAACATTTAGTGACTTAGTGAGGGCTTTTCTTAGCTGAGCACTGCATGCTAGACCTGAATCACCATAAACGCAATCTGTCCTCTGTCAACCACATTAATTACCTTAGCAAGTTTGTACTTCCCTTTCTGTACATTTTTCTGCTGGAATTTCACACAATTGTGCAACGACCCACATTTCCCAGGGAGCACAGTAAGAGCAGGTACCACCTTGGACATCCTGCCCTAAACCTGGGAGTGCCCTGGCTACCGCCTACGGGATTGTGCCCTCAGGTTGTTTTTTCCCTGGCAGAGCCCCTTCTGAGCCCTCAGAGAAGCCTTGTCTGGACATCAAGGCGGGTGACCCAGGCTCCGCCGCAGTCCCTGAGGCCCGGCTGCAAAGCTGCTGGCGCCAAGAGCTTCGTCATTTCAGGTGAGTCTCCTGGAAGCTCTCCCAAAAGGCTGTGGCTGCAGAAGCAACACCACAGGAAGAGCCTGTCAGGGACCCCAAATTCCAGCTTGGACATTCTCAGTCAAGAAGCTGCAGGGGAAGCCAACTGTAAGAGGGTTGTCAGCTTTCTAGTCATGCAGAGAGACAGAAATGCATGGGATGGGGTCTTTGGGGTGCCTGTCCCAGTTGTCTTCCAGGGCATGCACACATCTCAAACTGTACAAGCCCATTTAGTCACACTCCTGTGGAGAGCTCAAGACAGTTAGCGAGTCAGGAATAGCTTCCCCCAGTCACGCCCGGCACAGGGCAACTCTCAGAACTGAATGGAACAGAAAGACGCCTGGAATCACCAACGGCCTGAGGAGTCTGGTGCTTCTTTGCTGCCCCAGACACAAGGGGATGCAGGGGGGAGCAGACACTGTGTCAGTGCTGACCTGGGGGTGGCTAGGGAGGAGGAGGCCTCGAGGAAGGCTGGGGCCCCAGTGGAGGTGGGCAGGCCCCACAGAATCACCCCCAAACCTGGTCTGGGCCTGTGACCCCCACATTGGCCCTAGCTTCTGCTATGGCCCCAGGAGATACCTTCCAACCCTCTCTAACCAGAAAGAACAGTCAAGAAAGGAAATGGCTGTGGATCAGAAATTCTGAGTGTGGCAGCAGAGAAAGTCATTGCACTAAGCCCACTCCTGCCTCTACAAGGCCAGGAAGTAACAAAAATTAATCCCAAGTAAGGCCAGGGACGTATGGGCTTGCCATGTTAGTCAGCATGTCCTCCCTGCCCCAACAAAGCCAGCACACTAAGGCACTGGTGGAAGGGCACATGGCCCCCCCGGGGGCAGGCCAGGCAGCTGGCCTCACTGTCCCCTTCTCACTGCTACCCACTGGAGGGCGCTGCCAGCAGTGGGGTGAGTTTCCAGGGCCTGTGAAGGACAAGCACTGGCTGCTGCTGCCACCAGAAGCAAGGCAATGGCAAGAGTCCCCTTGCGGCAGCAGCAGGGAAACAGAGGGCCAGCAGGGACACTGAGGCTGCGGGAGGTGCTGCACGTTCCCTGAGGGGGCGTGGCCTGATCGGTTGGACCATAAATCAGATCCTGAACGGGGAATGACTCACAGCAGGCGTGGCTGGCAGGGCGTGGCTGGCGCGCGCTGGGCCTTACCTGCCACAGCCCCAGGCACATGGGCATGCCTGGTTTGGCATCTGCCTCCAGCTTCAGGGTGCACACTGACGTCTTGGATGGCATCTCCAGGATCTGAATCTGACAGGAAGAAAACAAGTTGACTTGGAACAATGCCAAGTCGAGGCTGTCTATACAAACAAGAGACTCTTAGGGCGATTAGTTGGGTTGCTGGGAGTTTCTGTCTGCTCCCTCCTACAGGGACCGAGCCATGGCTCCCACTCAGGCCACACAGGCACAGGCACACTCAGCCCTTGCAAAATGCTTCCCTCCTTCCAGAGCAGTTGCACGTTGCCACCCGGTTGTGGCCTCTGGTTTCTCCTGACTTCACTATCTGGACTGAAGGGAGTCCTGGCTCTCCTGCCTCTACTTAGCCCAGCCAGCTCTCTTCTCTGCCTGCTTCTGCTTCCCAGCTCAGGCTTTACATAGGAGCTGCCCTGAATGATTGACCAAGAGTGTGGCAATAACATCCATACCAGCCACCTCAGGTAGGAGGCCCAGCTGTCCCTCGCTTGCACACAAGGAGTCAGGTCCAGGGAGTTTGAGGGCATCAAATGGACAGAACCCACACCAGCTGGTCTAGTAGCTCGATCCACCCTGTTCTCCTGGGCCAGGCTGGGGACAATGTCTGAGGGGCCCATACTTGTGTGGGTGACAACCTCACTGTCCTCCCAGACTCACACAAAACAGGCTTTACACCCTGAATCTGAATCTCACATCAGCCACATATGTGCTGGGGCAGTCCTGAGGGCAGCTCCCAGGCAAGGCAGAGAGGCAGGCTCAAGGCCTAGTCCTCCCAGCTACTGAGTCTCAGATGGGCCAGGGCCATGGTGCTCTCTTGGCAGGACGCTCTTGCCAGGAGCCCCCCTGGCAGCATGGCCTCTGAGGGCAGGGCCTCTACCCACTCAGCACTAGGGATGCTCATAGCTCTGGGTTTCCCTCATCGCAGAAGTGAGTCCTGGAGGCCCTGCTGTGTGCTCATACACACATGCATGCACATATACAAGTATGTATACACTTGTACACATGCATACACATACACACTTGTACACACAGAGAGGCTCCACACCCCAAGCCCAGAACCAGAGGCCTGGGGTGAGTGGAACACCTGGTGGCAGAGGTCCCAAAGAACAAGTCTAGTGGCAAGGACTCCAAGGAAAAAGCACAGCCACAGCATGAAGGAGAGCAGAGCAGGCAGCAAGGCAGGAAGAGGCGCTGGGCAGCAGGGGCTTGAGATGCAGAGGCGTGTGGGGAAGGGTGGCGTGGTCCACATTCCAAAGCAGACAAATGGCAAATGTGAGAGCAAAGCAGAGGTCTTCTGGGACAGCAAGGATTCCTTATGACAAAAATCACTCAGCTAGAAGCTCTAGCAAAATAGAAAGAAATACAGGAATGAGACATTGGGAAACACGATGCAGCAGCAAGTGGGCCCAACCCAGAGGAACACAAAGACCCTGTGAGAAGCTGGGGCAGGCTCAGCCCTCCTCAGTCTTCTACAAGCACCACCAGCTCTGGTATGTGTTTCTCCCCTTAGGATCACGAAGGCCTCCATGTGAAGAGCACAGGCACTGGGCAGCCTGGGGACACTGGAGCCAGCTGCAGAGAGCTGTCAACTGAGTGTCATCACTGTCACCCTCTGCTATTTTCACAGAGGGTCTGTGAGAACCCCATCCAGGGTCCTCATGGCTCCCAATATCCTACTTTGTGTACTTCTCTGTGCCAGATTTCTTAAAAAGAGATCTGTTCCCTTGTCGTCATATGGGGAGGATGGGTGGGTTCCTGGGATTAAGCAGGTATGTGGGGGGCTATGCCAGGGGCAGGCAGAGCTGCCCTGAGCACACTCCTGGGAGGTCAGGAGGGGCATGGGGGAGGAAGGCACTGGACACAGCCTGCAGGCTGAACACAGCCACAGTTGAAAAGGGAGGACCCATCCTGATCTGTGGGCTCAGGAAGGCCCCTCTGGGGGCAGTGAGGGTGGCCTGAGAGCAAAGGACTCAAGCAGGCTAATGGGCTAGAGGTAAAAGAGTAGGGGTCAAGGTTGAGGGCAAAGCCCACCCCCAAGGACACTTGTGAGGCCTTGAGCTGGGCGCTGCAGAAGGAAGTGTGGTGGCAGCACCTCGAACTGCATGGTGCAGGGAAGTGGGAAGCCCTGGGCCTGAGCACTGGGAGCAGGCCTTGCATCTGGTTGGTCTGGGCCCCCAGCCCAAGACCTTCTGAGGTCAGAGGAGGAGCTTTCTGCCCGTGCCTGCACTCAGAGCCTCCTACAGACACCGATGAGCTTTCTGCCTGGCACCCGCCTGCAGTTTTTGTTTCCAGAAGGAAAAATGTTAGGTTTGGGCAAGTGTGGCCACCCAGATGGCCATGCGAGGCAGGAGCATGTGTTCTCTGAGCACTGTCTGGCACATGCTTTTCCAGGGTCTAGTCTAGGCAGATTCCAGGTAGAAACATAGACAGCAACCATTTTCCTTGATTGTGCGAGGTCCCTGACTGGAGGCTGTGAGAAGTACAGATACTGCCACCACAGGAAGCCAAGTGCCAGGAGGTGAGTCAAAACAGCCTGGGCACAGGGGACACGTGGCCTACGGGATACAGTGCACGTTGGCAGAGTGCCAGCCAGAGGCCCAGGGGGTTGGCCCACAATGGCACTCTGGGCACAGTGGGGCAGGGCAGAGCTCTTGCAGCTCTGTGGTGTTCCTATGGTATGTGGCTGGCAGGAACCCGCTGCCCACCTACCATCTCTTTTACATGAATAACACTTGTACAGGTTTGTGGCAAATTAACAAGAAAAGCATATGTAGCTCCTAACTGATGATCAACTGCAGACATGAACAAACTAATGTCTGCACCTATCTCATTACTTAGGAGCTGGACCTGCCTGAAGACAGACCTCCTTCCTGCACAGGGATGACCCTGCCCAGAGCCCTATCCTCCCCACAATCCACCCTCAGGCCACTGCGCCACACACTCACCAGGCAGTTTAGGTCCCCACTTATGGGCTCATCACTGATTTCCCTCCAGCCACCCTTCTTTCTCTACAACACTCCTGCTTCATGTCCTGGGCGCCCCTCCCTTGGCAGACTCTGACTCCCCAGGAGTATGGACACTGCTGTCTAATTGGGCCTGTCCTATGTCCCCAACACCTTTGGTCATTATGCCTAAACTCCACCCTACGATGACTTCCCCGCCCAGTCAGCCCCCCTCCCCCAGAGCCCCATCCCCTGGGCGTTCTTCTGCTTACCTATCTCTTGGGTCTAGTGTCTGTCCCACTCCCTGCATCTCAGCCCTGCCTGCAGTGCCTGGTTCTGTACCCCAAAACACCACTCACTCCACTGCCCTGGCTCAGAACCACTTTCCTCTTCACCTTGGTCTCTCTTCCACCACCTCCCTCTGGCCACCTGGAGTCTCCTCCCTCCCAAGTCTATATCCCAAGGACCTGTTCTCTCCCCTACCACTCCTGCTGGCCTCAGGCCTCAACACTTGGTCATCCTGCACCCTTGCTCCACAGATAGAACCATGCTAGGTGCCCAGGTCTCTGAGATACTAGCACCTCCCCTGATCCCTTCCTTATTCTCACACTGCCCTAGGAGGGCAGCTCACCACTATGGCCACCTCACAGGGAACAGATCAAGGTCTACAGCCATGTACTTGTCCAGGCCATGCACCTGCCTCCAGCAGCTCCCTGGGTCTGGAGGGTGGGGATGTGTACCTCCTGGCCAGGTATGGAGTTTGGTAAGCACAGCAGTCCAGAAAACAAGAGGCCTCAGGCAGGCTCGTTCTCACCTCATCAGTGCCCTTCCCCGGCATAGCGAGCATCCAGCGTGGCTGGCCCTCAGCCAGGATGGCACTCCTGCAGAAGCCCACACTCTCCAAGCGCACGGAGTCCACAATAGTGTTCCTGCCCTCTGCCAGGTCCCACAGGCACAGCCTCAGGTCCCGACCCTGACTTCCAAACAGAAAGGAGACAGGCCTGAGCCTCCCCTTGACAGACATCAGTGCCCACAACCCCCCTAGACCAAAGGAAGGTGAGGCCACATTTCTAGGGGATAGCTTTGGTGAGCATGAGTCATTGCAGGGCAGGAGCCTTGGCCAAAGAAGAGCTTCTCTGCACTGGCATTTATATGTGAGTTGGCATCCAAAGTGTCCAATGTTAGAACACACAGCTGACTGAGGCCCTAGGCACTCTGTGCACATGCCCTGGTGTCCTGATTTTTGTGGCCTTCCTGCTGCAACCAGTGCCACCAAAGCACCTCTCTCTCTCTGCAAATTAGATTCGACAACCCAGCAATCCCACTCTGTTACTTTCTGAAGTGAATTTTAAACCTACATTCACACGAAAACCTGTACAAGAATGTTTATGGCAGCTCTCTTCATAATCACCCAAACTGAAAACCACCCAGCTGTCCCTCAAAGAGGAAAGGTTCATCCCAACACAGAACATCAATCAGCAAAGGAGCCAACCAAAGCCATGAACAGCAGCCTGGAGGGCACAGAGATGTGTTCTGCTGAGTAGAAGAAGTCAGGTCTGAAAGGGCCCATGGTGAGATCCATTCATTGATGTTCAAGAAATGGCAAGAACACAGAGTCGGAGAAGAAAGGGGTTATTGCCCCTAGGGGTGGCACATAGGCTTTGTGGGCAAGGGGTTGCCCGCATGGCCCTGAGGTGATGAGTGGCAAACCTGCAGACCTACTCCCCACTGGAGCACACTTCACAGTGTGTGTGATCAAAACAACAGACACCCAGAATGCTGGGACCCCAGGAGGGATTGTGACTGTAACAAACTGGATGACATGCTGCACTGAGGATGAAGACAAAGTGGAGCTGGCCTGAGAAGTTGGACAGTGTCTTGACTAGATGCTGTGCAGTTTTAACAAAATAACTAAGCCGGGCTCAGTGGCTCAGCCTGTAATCCTGCGCCTTTGGGAGGCTGAGGTGAGTGGATTGCCTGAGCCCGCGGGTTCGAGACCCACCTGGGCGGCGAGACCTCATCTATACAATAAATCAAAAAATCAGCTGGGCATGGTAGCGCATGCCTGTAGTTCCGGCTGCTTGGAAGGCTGAGGCGGAAGGATTGCCGGAGCCCAGCAGGTCGAGGCTGCGGTGGCCGGGAGCGGCCACTGCACTCCAGTCTGGGCGACAGAGTGAGACTCCAACTCAAAAAAAAACAAACAAAACTGTGCAGAAACACCATACTCTTGTGAGTGAGTTAGCTCCTCACAGTGTAGTGGCTGCCACTCTGAATACTCTGCACATACCGGTTGCAACAGAGGAGGAACTCTGGAGGCTTGCAGGCCCAGATACCCCCAGAGAGCTACTGTAGAAAAGCACGGAGGACAGAGGGATCTGTAGAGTCAAACTAGGGTCATGGGGTCCATACAAGCATGTGTTTAGTCAGATGTTCACACAGATAGACAGAAATGAGGACAGACGGCATGCAAGCATGGGTCAGTGGGCACAGCCACAGCAAATGGAAGCATCGGGCATGCCTAGTGCCCATCTCACAGTTTCTTATTCCATTCTCCAGAAATGGCAACCAAGGTCTTGGAGAAATGGCTGGAGTGAGGGAAACAAGATGAGTTTCATGTCTGGTAGTGCTAGAATGGAAGGAAATTTTTTTTTTTTTTTTTTGAGTTGGAGTCTCACTCTGTCGCCCAAACTGGAGTGCAGTGGTGACCTGCTGGGCTCCGGCGATCCTTCTGCCTCAGCCTTCCAAGTAGCCGGAATTACAGGCACGCACTACCACACCTGGCTGATTTTTTGATTTATTGTAGAGATGAGGTCTCACTGCCCAGGCAGGTCTCGAACCCGTGGGCTCAGGCAATCCACTCACTTCAGCCTCCCAAAGGCATGGGATTACAGGCTGAGCCACCGAGCCCGGCTGGGAAAGAAATACTTTAAAAATAAAATAAAATCGGTGCACCTGGCAGGCAGAGTGGGTGGCAGTGCGGAGCTCGAAAAAAAGAAAAATACATAAAATAAAATCAAGGATGGGGTCTGTCAGGAGGATACTAGTCCCAAAGTTAGAACAATTCCAGTGACAAAATAAATCATGGCAGTATTCAATGTTAGCTGAAGAATGAAGTAAATCTCCATGAATCCATCCTCATGAGTGAGCACATAAATCTATTGGGAAGAAGGAGCAAACTTTTCTTCCAGGTTCCCTAATTCCAATTAATCTAGAATTGTACCTCAAGCAGGAGGAGAGAGGGAGATGAGCACACTCCAGTAATAACCATTGCAGGCAGAATCTACCCATGGATGCTAAAATCAGTGGGTGAAACAGGATATTTGCATAGCCTCAAAGTATCTCCCCACCAAATCTGACTTAATTTTATTTTATTTGAGACAGGGTCTCACTATGCTACCCAGGTGGTCTTGAACTCTTAGGCTCAACTGATCCTCCTGCTTCAGCCTCCCAAGTAGCTGGGACTACTTTCCCCCAAATATTTATTAATTACTGTGGTGGTTTGTGGGGTTTTTTTTTGAGTTGGAGTCTCACTCCATCGCCCAGACTGGAGTGCAGTGGCCGCTTCCGGCCACCACAGCCTCGACCTGCTGGGCTCCGGCAATCCTGCCCCCTCAGCCTTCCAAGTAGCCGGAATTACAGACGTGCGCTACTACGCCCAGCTGATTTTTGATTTATTGTAGGGATGAGGTCTCGCCAAGTTGCCCAGGCAGGTCTCGAACCCGCGGGCTCAGGCAATCCACTCACCTTGGCCTCCCAAAGCACGGGATTACAGGCTGAGCCACTGAACCCGGCTACTGTGGTGGTTTTAACACAGAACCAAACATCCTTGGACCCTCCTCCCTCCAGGAGGTGGAGCTTAATTCTCCTCCCCTGGCATTTGGGCTGTACCTAGTAACTCACTTTCTAAGGAACTCAGTGAGCAAAAGTGGCACCTTGACAGTGTGCCCAGCAGATACACCCTGCCCCAGTAAGCAGGGCTGACCTCACAGCCATGGGCCATGTGGATGTCACAGTCCCTGGCACAATGGGATGGGAAGAACACTCATCCCCATGGGTTTCCTCCCCAACCCACCACTCTAGTCTCACCCGGAGAAAATTCCAGACAACCCAACCTGGGCAGTGCTCTTCAGAAACATCGAGGTCATGAGAAACTAGGAAAGAGAAATAGCTAATCATTGACCAGAAGGCCCAAAGGAGACACAACAGACAGCTTAGTGGACGTTGCACAGAAAAGGACATCAGTGGAAAGATGGGGATCAGAACAAAGCCTTGCTTCAGTTTCTGGCATGCCTGATGCTCCGCCCAGAATGCCATGCAGGGCACAGAGTCCACACCACAGAGACCAGCACCGTGAAACCTGCTCTCTCCAGGCTTGCCCAGGATTGGGCATCTCAACCCAATTCAAATCTCCACTCAGCTTAGGAGAACCCACAGACTGATATTCAGAATGTGCCTCGACACTTAGAGGACCATGAGGGAGGGGAGATGGGGCCGCTGGGCATTCACATGGAAACCTGGGTCTTTCACCGCAAACTGTAGTGGCTCCTGTATGAATTGTGGACCTAGAAGAAACAGCACTGATACTCCTGGGAGACAGGGAGAGGTCTTTTTGACCTCGTGACAGGCACTCCCTGCCAGAACCTGGCAGACTGGACTTCATTACAACGAAGCATCTCTGTTCCTTGAAGACACCATAAGCATGAAAAATGCAAGCCGCCATGTTGGAGAAATAAGTTGTGATATGAAAATATCTATCATATCTAGAATATAGAACTCCTTGTATCAATAAGAAAAAGGCAGGCAATCCAACAGATATGTGACAACAGACCACAGAGGCATTAAGGCTTTCACCCACATGGCTGACACACACAAAAGGTCCATCAATAAAGGATCAGTAAATACAAACTAAACCACACTCAGAGGCGCCTGTACCCTTGCAGGCTGTGAGGGGTGGGTGCTCCTGCCTCAGGGGGTGCAGTATGACGCCCCCTGGACAGGTGACCTGGCATCCTCTGACAAGTCCAGAGTGCACAGGCACCATGGCCCAGATGCCCCACCTCTGAGTACAGAGATCCAACCTGCAGACACAAACGTACCTGGCACTGGAGACCCAGGCAGGAGTCTTCCTAGTAGCTGCATCGCAACAGCTCCAAGTGGGCACCTAGCTAGTTCTCCACTGACAGAAGCATGGGTGAGTAAACAAGCAGATACAACCAGTGGAATACAATACAGAAAACCACCACCAACTGCAGCCATGTGCAATGTGGCAGACATCAGTGAGACAAGGTCAAGTGAATGAAGTCAGATGCAGAGGAAACTGTTTCTTATGGCCCCACTTTTTAGAGAAGAAGACCAGACAAAATTAGTCTACACTTTTTAGATGGTAAAAGCGTATTCAGATGGCAAAGCAAAAAAGGTGTGGAGGCTGGCTGCCTTCCAGGGTGGGGGATGCCACCTTCCCAGAGGACAGTGGCAGTGGTGCAAGGGGGTGGGAGTGCTGGGGGCTGGCAGGGCTGCACTCCCGGCCGGGGAGGTGGTTACTCAGGTGCACATATGGCTGTCACACAATACACCAAACACTTGTCTTGCATGCTTCTGTGAGAAAACTTTACAATACAAAGTAAAAGGAACGCCCTGCAGAGGAGGCTGAGGGCATTCCTACCTCTCCTTGTCATGAAAGCCACCGCCCCTTAAGGGCTACTTAGAGACACTTGGCTTCCAAACACAGCTGAACACAGGCTGAGTGGAGGCCATGGGCTCTAGTGCACCGTAAACGCACCTGGCACTCCACACCTGCAGACTCCACCTCAGACCCTCACCCCCTGCCAAGCACCATTCAGTCAGGAAGGGGAGGCACCCTGAATGCTGGCTCTGGGCTGTCTGCTGAGCACAGTCCCTGCCCAGAGGACAGCCAACACTGCCTGGGTACTGGGGCCCTAGGACACCCTAAGGCCTCCATGTTGGCTGGAAACTCAAGAAGTCACTTACACATGGCAGCTCCCAGCACATGTGACTGGGGGGATTAGGAAAGGCCCTCTACTCTGATAAGCACCAAGCAGAAAGGGAATTGGGCCTGCTCAACCAGGAGATGTGCAAGGTCCTACAAAGGCTCTAAGGCATGAAGGTCCAGGGCTTTTGCCCTCTGGGACAACTATGTTGTCTCTGTCACCCACCTTTCAGGTGGGGGACACTGCATGAATCAGGCACAAAAGGGCTTTGAAGACTGGTAGGGACCACTCAGGCCTTATCCTCTGGGGACTGAACACCACAGTGCCCAGGTGTCCCAGGTACCCAGGCCAGAGCAGGGGTAGAACAGGCCTGTCCTTCTGGAGCTCTGGGCCATGAAAGTACAGTGCGGAATACAGATGCTAGGGATGACAGATCGCAGGAGGATGGCAACGGGCCCTCATGAAGGCCTGGACCTACCAATATCTCACACATGGGCTGGCAGCAGCTGCCTCAGCTGTCACCTGCCCGGTGCTCCAGCCTCCTAAGGTAGCACTTCCTGGCCCCACTTGGCAGAAGTTCATCTTCCCACTTCCCCATAATGAGCTAGTCCTGCACCCTCCACACGCTGCAGACCCTCCACTAATCCCTGCTGGTCTCCCCACTCCCACACCATTCTATCATTGAGGTGGGGATTCTTGCCCACCTCACCTGCCAAGGTCACACTTAGGGACCCACCTGAGAAGCTGGTGTCCCTGGGGCAGCGTCTGTAGCCAGATCACACACTGGCCCCCATGGCCATCTAGGGTGGTGACAGCTCTCCGTGTCTGCAGGCTCCAGATGTGCACCAGACCACCCTGAGACCTGTTTCAGATAAACCACACAAGATGTCGGGAAGCAGGCATGGCAGGCAGGTGCTCCCAGTGTGCTGGTGCTGGCCTAGAGTTTACACTGCTTGCCTCGGGCACTTCAGCTGATAGGGTCCTTAATTTAAAAGCCAACAGCTAAGGCTGGGCACAGTACCTCATGTCTGTAATCCCAGCACTTTGGGAGGTTGAGGCAGGAGGACTGCTTGAGCACAGGAGTTCAAAACCAGCCTGGACAACATAGCAAGACCTTGTCTCTACAAAATACTAGCCAAGCATGGTGGTATGTACCTATAGGAGCAGCTACTCAGGAGGCTGAGGTAGGGAGATTGCTCGAGCCCAGAAGGCAAAGCCATGATCGTGCCACTGCACTCCAGACTAGGCGACAGAGTGAGACCCTGACTCAAAAAAAGGTCAACAACTCTAACTAGAAACTAAGGGTCAGACTGGCAAAGCATTCCCCTTTCAGAGAGGGTAGTGGGGCCCCAGGTGCCTTCAAGAGAACTCAGACTGACCAGCTTCTCTGGAGAGGAGGTGCCATGCCAAGGGATACATACTGGTGGTTTCACCTGTTACTGCGTTTGTAACAAAGGACATGTCCTGCCTCCCCCAAGGGACAGCGTGTCCAGTAGGCTTTGAGATGGCAGCAAGCCTGGGCAATGGGCAGCCCACGCCTCTCTCCAGCACCCGCAATGAGTTCTTTGCTAGCCTATGCTTCTGATCTCACCCTGGGCTGCTGGGGACCGGAACAGCAGCCACTTACCCTGAGAAGAGGAGCGGACGCCCCTGAGCCTGGGCTCCTTCACGGAAATGCAGTGCATGCACTGGTGACTGAGTGCCTCGAAGGACAAACTGGGGGTCCGGCGGCGGCAGCAGGAGAGGGGCTGCCATGCTGGGTAGGACACAGTCACCTGGGGGCCAAGAAAAAACATGTGAGTGACAGTGCCTCCATCTTCTAGAAAGGCAGCTCAGGTATAGAGGTGTCTAAGATGCTGTTCTTGCTCAGGGCCCCTGGCCATCTGTCCTGGGGGAGGGGATCCTGCTCCCCAAATGTAGCTTACTGACCCTGCAGCCGCAGAGGGAGCAACTCTGCACGGCAGTAGGTCCCACTGAGAGTGCAGAGTTCATACTTTCCATGTGGTGGATCTCTTCTGCTTGCTGCTCTTGCCGGGAATCTGGGAGCCCCCCAGATGCTAACCCTCCCCCACCCCACCTGTTGGCCTCTGCACCCAACCAGGGCACCACTCTGGCCCATGTGCACCACCCCTAGCAGGCCCAGTGGCCCAGCCCTCCCTCCCACTCTGGTCCTCAGTGCCCCATGCAGAGCCTACGCTGGTCTCCACAGCTTCCTGTCCTCCACCTACTGTACCCCCCATCTCCCTGGATCCCACTGGCCATACTACTTTCCTGCTCTGGTCACCAGCATGCCAGGACTACTGGTCCTGCTGCCTTGCCTGGCTGAGTTCCACCCCATACCCTGTCCAGGCCTTGCCCCAGTGTCTCCTTGGGAGCCCCCCCCCCACTGCCCTCCTGGCAAATCCAGTCTCTCCTACCCACAGCACAGTAATGATAGGCCAAGCTGTACTGCCACCTTGGGTATCAAAGCCCATGCAGTCTGCCTCCTCCCAGGCACCTGGAAAGATGAGAGGAGTGCAGGGTCACAGGGTGGCCAGCAGGAAAAGCCACCCCCTCGCATGTACAGCAAACATCTCTCTGGGTCCTAGGCCTGTCCTGCCACAATTTCTAATTGCTATAAGCACCCTGTGAAGAGGCAGCACCTGCATTACTATTGGAGAAACTAACTGAGACAGGGAACAGTCAGCTGAGCTGTCCCAGGCCCTTGGAGCTCAGGCCTGAGGTACTCTAGTACCTGCATGCTGCCACCAAGCAGCAGAGTGGCTAGGCACAAATCACTTTGTGGATCCTTGGGTGGGTTGCTATCCCAGATGATGGGTTGCTCCCCAAATCACTGGACCTGTGGGGAAGGCCTGCTGAGGTCCACCCACCCCAGAGAAGCTGTCCTGTGCCCCCACTGAGCCCAGCCACTCTACTTCCGGCTCACAAGCAGCTGCTCTCCACTGGCAGGGGCAGTCCTTGAGTCAGAAGTGACTTGCTCCAATGGCCACAGGCACATGTGTTTGCTGAGGCCCTGTGCTGGGCTGAGGGTACAGAGGAAAGGGCCAGGAGCAGACCACTGGATTGTTGGAGTGTTCTGTCTCAAGGGCCTCTTCCACTGGGCTGTGGGACAGTCCCCAGTTCAGCTACCTGCAGCCTGTACGCAGGGCAGGGAGGAGGCTAGTCTACACATGGTGGCAGCCACAGTCAGAGGGACAGGGGCAAGTAAAGGATAGGACAAAGGAGACGGGAAGTATTCCTCCAGAAGGGGGCCTCGGCCAGAGGCAGATTGAAGGACAAGGCTCCAGGCCAAGGCAGACACTGTGGCAGGAGCAGATGCAGAGGCAGGGGAGGCACAGACGTCTCACCGGGGCAACTGTCCAGGGCACCCACTTCAGCTGCACCTTCTCCGACCAAGTCTCCCCACCTCCAAATCTGCCCCAGTCCCCCTCTTCTCTCGCTTTGGGAGAGGCAGGAGCAACTCGACTCCTGCAAAAGGTTCAAAACGCCTAAGTAATGTCCCCATCAAGGTGGCTGAGTCCTCAAGAGCCAGCAGGCTCCGAGTCACACGGAGTGGAGAGTGGTTCCAAGAAGTGACCAGGGCCCATACAGGAAAGACTGAGGAGGGCAAGAGGCCACAGGTGGCCACTCTATCTCTCAACCTTGCCTATTAAGGGGTTCCAAAAAGAACGTGGAGGGCCCCAAGATTTCTTTCTAAACTGCCAAGTCCCACTTTTTTCTTTTCTTTTTTGGAGAGTAAGAGGGAAGTTTCAGCTTAACAGTCCCTCTCACCTTAGGTCAAAGACAATGATGCTTCCCAAATGTAAGGGTGGCCTCATGGGGAGGTGAAGGGACCCAGCCCCACATTGCTCCTTGGACTCATGGTCCCTGCTTGCACCCAGGACAGGGCAGCCTTCTGAAGATATGGCTGGCCCAGGCACTGGAACAGCCACCCTCGGGCAGGTTGGCTCAGAGGACAGGTTTTCAGAAGCCACCACCCCTGCACTGTGCTCGCCTAGTGAGAACGGCAGGTCAGCAACAGGCACAGGACTACAGGCCCAACTCCAGAAGAGCCAAGAGTGCAGACCTTACAAGAACACCTCCACCACAGCAAAGTCTCAGCCTAGGATGGGGCTCCCTCCTGCCATGCCAGCCCAGGCAGTGGAGCCTCACAGGTTAGCTCCACACAGGCTTCTATGTGTAGTCCAGACACAGACACACTTGGACACACACTCACAGAGCACGTGTTCCAGCACACATGCAAAACTCCTGCCTAGGACACACACTCATACATGCATGTACTCACACAGCCTGATATGCACACACATGTGTGCACTCACGTACATATGTACACCTGTGCACATACATACACACACATACATGCTCATGGGTACACACACATGCACATAGTCAGCATGGTGGCCTTGGGCAGAGCCTGGTTCTGCTTGTCACCTGCCTGCGGCCTGGCGGGAGTTTCCAGACTCTCCCAGCAGAAGGCTCACTCTGGGTGATGAAATCAGGTTCTCCTCCATTGTTCCCCAGAACTGTGGGGAACAAACCCGTCATGTTGTTACAACAGCCAAGCGCTCAGGCCAAATGATGCATCAGCAATTAAGGGCTCCATCATTTCAAGCAATTAAAATAAACGCTGTATTTGAAGACTAATTAATTCTAGCTGCATATTTTCCCCATGACAATATCCTAGGATTGCTTGATTTATGACATCTCATTATTCTTTATTAATCTAATTGAGAACCATCATGTTCTCCTATCTCGCCTGGCCCAGGGCCGGGAGCGGAGGCTGCCCTTGCGCAAGTGCGCTCAGCCCTGCTTGCTTGGCCACCCCGCTCTGGTCCTCCTGGAGGCAAAGGAACAGGAACCGAATCCACAGAGCACAACCTCGGCCTCTGCCTGCTCTTCCAGATGTCAACATGAGGCACATTCCTTTAAAAATGAAAGACAGTCTGACAATCTGTAGAGCTCTGACAGCCTTCCTGAGGCCACAGGCACCCTTGAGAGCCCTGCAGGCTGGGCCTGGGCATGCAAACAGGTTATGTCAGTATCCCCTGCCACACACCACAGGCTCTCCCCCCATGAAGAGGTCACCCAAGTGTTCCTCTGGTCATGGGACCCAGTGGGCAGGCGCCTAGGCCTGAGACGCCCACTGGAGGGAGGCAGGGTGGGTCCATAAATGACCAGAGGGTACAGACCCATCCACCCCATGGGGACCATGTTGCGCAGACAGACCACATGATTCGAGGCAGAGCTAGGGCAGTGGCTATGCCCAGAGACCACAGGGCCCTCCTAGGATTTTCTTGGGCTGCCAGGGATTCACAGCTCAGTGCATGTCCCACGGCCTGAGCCCCAGACAGGCCTCGGGCTACACAGTGCTGTATCCAGCTTCCAGCCCTTTCCTTTTATGGCCACAGGACGACTGTTCACTGAACACGTGCAGAAGTCAGCAGAGAGCACCAAGAAGTGAGCCAGCTCAGGAAAGCTACCACCGCGAGATGCCACCAGCACTACCTTGCCTGTAGCTGCCCTGCCTGTACCAGCCCACCAGGTCCCACCTGTCTCACTGGATATGTGACAGCACAAAGACTGCGGGTGTGCCTCAAACAGGTCTCCAGCACCCCCCATCACTGCCCTTGTATGTGTTAACAAAGGACATAACTAGCTCCAGCAGCCCCCAAGGGACCTCTGTCCCATAACCTGTAAGAATAGGTCAGCACCACTTCAAAGCAGGACAGATACCCTGATTGGCCCTCCCAACAAAACAACTAAAAATGTTGATGAAATATTTAAAAAACAAGCCAGGTGCAGTGGCACATGCCTATAGTCCCAGGTACTTGGGAGGCTGGGGTGGGAGGATCACTTGAGCCCAGGAAGAGCCTGCAGTGAACTATGATCGCACCACTGCCAGTCTAAGCAACAGAGTGAGACTCTATCTCTAAAAAAATTTTTTTAAATCTTCAGTGTATTACTAAGTTGGAAAAAAAAAAAAAGTCTGGAACTGTCACAGGTCAAACCCTAAATAAAAGTCAGACGTAGTGAGACCTGTGAAGCCTGCCCTGAGGGTGGCTGCTGCACTAGTGACCTGAATTTCTGTTCTGAGGGCCTCTGAGGCTACAAGTGACAAAGTTTAGGGCCCTCCATGGAGGCTAATTTCAAGGAAAACCCCAGTGAAGATGGCCAAAAGGTGACAGACTCAGTATTAGCAGAACCAGAACCAAAGTTGCACCCACAGGGACCAGAAAAATGTCAGCCCTCAGGTTCCAGCCCTGATTCAAACACTCTGGATAAGCCTCAAGCTTCGATGTGTCTAAGAAGGAGCCCACCTTCAACCCAGGCCTCAAGGAATTCACTTTAGAAGTCCTAAGCAGCACAGGCTCATAGTCAAAAACCACAAAAACAAACAAGGAAGCATGGCTCTGTGAATGAGAGTCACAAGAAACAACAGGAAGCGGAACTAGATCCACAGAACATGGTACTCAGGTACATGATACAGGATGCCTGATGCAAAAAGGGGAACTGAAGCTGCAAGTGGAGAGCAAGAGACTGTAAAGATCACCACACGGGTCTGAAAAAGGAGCCAGTATGGGGAAGGCTTGTTGGGAAACAGGAGATATGTGCTGTGCCAAGCCTGCCCCTCCAGGCTGTTTGCTGATCACAAGAGGAAGATGCGCATTTACAATGCAAACATCGGGCTGTCACCAGCTTTACCACCAATCGAAGCTGGCACCACCAGTAATCAACAAACTGGCATCACCTGTCTCCTGAAGTGGTGCCT